ATATTAGGGGTGCAACAATACATGTACGTACCCATATCGAACCATTCAATACAGTGCTTTAGGTTCAATACTCACTATGTATCAAACAGTACAGATATTTTTTAATTATTTTATCAGTTTGTCTTCTGGTGATGCTTTGTGTTGAGGGATCAGTTGATCTATGTTTGACTACTCCACCTAGGCTGCATTGTCGAGCACAAATCCACTGAAACTTGCTGTTTCAGCAACATTTAATTTAAAAATTGTACTTGAACAAATGTGCAGAATTATTTTCAATAAATTACAAGTTAAAAATGGCATGGACATTTCTCTTTTCTGCATTGAATAAATATCGAACCATGAGACTAAAGTATTGAACCGAACCAAATCGTAAATTTTCTGTATCGTTGCACCCCTAATAAATCAGTTTTTTATACTTTCTTTTTGTGTAGCCATTATAGATTTACCACTTGTTTGTATAATTTATATCAGAATTATACATGTACACCAAAAAAGCATTTATTCACAGGTGTTTTGTTTAATATCCACTTGATATTTTTATGTTAAATAATTATACTAAAGCAAGTCCATTTTTTCCCTTGTATTTATTGCCACATTGTAGAACTAAACTAGTCTTTACATTAAATAACACAATTCTTACAAAGAGAAAAAGCGATTTTCATGAGTTGCTTTCTTATTTAAAAAAAAAGGTGCATGACCTGTCCGTGTTTACTTAACTGTGTGCTCTTTAAAAAGTGAAAGCAGGAAGTTTAAACAATTAAAACCGGCAGGATTACAGCTGACAGAACAAGACATGTTCTAACAGGATTAAACGTGTTGAGTAACAGTTAAACAGAGACACATTTACAGGTCTTCTATTTGTTTTAAAATACTCATTAGTTTTAAAACTGGATTTTTGCATTTTAATATTTATTTTATTCTTAGTTCAGGATGTGTTTGTGGAACTGTATGACCTTTGACCTGAAACATGTCTTTTAGCTCCTGATGTTATGGGGCTGCAGCTCATTATGTGGATGGAGGCTTGAGCTAAGCCTGTCATCTGCCATGTGTATGTGGAGGATAAATAATGCTTTTCTATAGAGTTTAATCCACCAGTCTCCTGCATTGATTATTGAATAGAGTTTTCTGTATGATTGAATCAGATTTTACATGTGTGTGTTTGTGTGTGAGGCTGGCTGTCGAGACGTTTTGTTATATTCTGTGTGTTTTTCTAAATGTGAGAAATATAGAAATGAAAAGAAAACCCTTCTGTCCAGCTGGGGTGAAGAGCTGCTCGTGCAGCGCAGGAAATGGAGGGAAATCTGAAAGATGAGATGGGAAGGAGGAGGAGAGGGAATCCTGCAGGAAGAGAAATGTGTGTTTCTGTGGCAGCAGCAGCTGAGTGTGTTCACCCTGCTGCTGCCTCAGACATCTGTTGTTAGGATTACCTGAAAGGCTTTATACTGCCATCTTGTGGCGAGGTGGTGTTCCATTTTGAGTTGGGAAAATGTTTTGGATTAGAAACAAAATGTGTTCAAAAATTGATAAAAGGGCAAACTTGCCAAATGGATTCACCTGACTAAAGTTAGTTTCCTAAATGACTGACAATCTACAACTGTATATGAATCAGAGAATTAAATTGAAAAATGGTTACCAATTGTTTATTCTAATCATATTTGTTAATAAAAAAAGATCAATTCTAGTTATAAATGGAAGACAGACGACATACGGCTTGTTAGTAGTAATATTATAATTGAAACAACAATAATCAGAGTTGAAGGTATTTATTTTGTAAGTTGGAAACCGAATCAAATGGAAGCTGCTGATTAAAATCCTCCTGTTTTTGTTTGTTTTGTTGTTTTTGCAGATTTTGTTCGACCAGGCTCAGAGGTCGATCAAACAGCAGCTTCATACCTTCATCAAAGAGTGAGTGTCTCACCAGTCGCTTCACTCAGCTGAAGAAAAAATGTTTCCTGTTCATGTTTATCCAACAGGATGAATTTGGATATTTTAGGAATGACTCAACGATGTTAATGTCAGAAAGAGTTCTCTGTTTTATGCACTCAAAAAAAAAAGGAAACAATATTTAGACTGTTTTTTGTCGAGTTGTGATTTAAACCACCTGATGCTCAAAGTGCCTCCCTTCCACCAGGGATGTTCGTAAGTTCAAGGACACCAAGAAGCAGTTCGACCGTGTGCGTGAGGACATGGAGCTGGCTCAGGTGAAGAACGCGCAGGCGCCCAGGAACAAGGTGCACGAGGCGGAGGAGGCCACGCAGGCCCTCATCCTGAGCCGCAAAGCCTTCAGGCACCTGGCTTTAGATTATGTGCTGCAGGTGAGACGCTTCCTGCACACAAATAATTCCAACGTCGTCCAGCAGGTGGCAGCGACACACAACAGCTGCTGAGCTGCCTGTTCATCATCTCTCTGATAAGATCACTCCGTTAATCTCGAACACGAAGCCTGAACCTGCGTTTCCCTCTTTGTTTACGGCAGATTAACGTCCTTCAGGCCAAGAAGAAGTTTGAGATCCTGGATGCTGTGAGGGACTCGCCGTAATCTCCGCACGAACGTCTAAACAAACAGTCGCAGATGTTTTGACCAGTTTTGATTCCTCCTCCTGCAGATGCTGTCGTTCATGCGAGCCCAGTACACTTTGTTCCAGCAAGGCTTTCACATCCTAGATGAGATCGACCCCTACATGAAAAAACTGGCTGCACAGGTGAAACTACGGTTAAATGGCAACGATTGAACCCTGCGTCTGCTTCTGTTCCTGATGTTTTCCCCTGCGTGTGTACAGCTGGACCAGCTGGTCATCGACTCCGCCGTGGAGAAGAGGGAGCTGGAGCACAAACACGCTCTCATCCAGCAGAGAGTGAGACAAGAAACGCATCACTCTCACCTTTCAACACTTTTAAAAACTGCATCGGGTCACTTTTTACTTTCCCCTCCTCTCSTTTTTATCCCCATTATTACTAAACAAATTAAAACAAAATAGTTGCTGTAATCTGTGGTRTAATTTCTGGACTTAGAAATCGCACTATCTTCTTTATTTCTTAAATGAATTTAGAGAATGATAGAAAAGTTCTGCAGAATTTAAAAATGTCAAACAGTATTTGCGTTATAGAACGTCCGATCTGAAATGCTTCCTGGGGATTTTATTTGTTTTACTAAAATATTTCCTTAGGAGTTATTTCCATCAGCCGCTGTTATCACAAGAAAAGTCAGTGTTGCAAGAAAAAAAAAGAAGAMGACAAACAAAAATGTACATTTGGGGTATATCTAAAATGTTATCTTAAAGTGAAATCAAAGTTGTTTTTTCAAAGCAGCTCTGATGAAGTTGTGGATTTTCTTCCCCATTTAAATGATGCAAAAAAAAAMAAACTCTCAGAAACTGTTTCCTCCTTTTTAAAAAGGCTGAAACTAAGAGTTGACATTTGGAAACGAGGCGTTTTAAGTCAGGTAGTTTTTTTTCTTCTAGTCGTCTCTCAGCTGAGGAGAACCTCACAGACTCACCCCTGCGGCCCAGCAGTGACATTCATGCACGGAAATCATCCATCTGTTAGGAGAGGCGATGCCAAAAACACGTCTGTTTTTCCGCCTCGCTTGGCTCTTACCTTGGATCGATTTAGTTGGGAGTGAAAGCGTCCTGGCAGACGTGCCAAGCAGCTTCGTGCCCCGATGACCTTTCAGCAACGCTCCCTCTTTAATCAAAAAGGAAAAAAAAGGAAAAACGTGCCCTGTCTTTTGTTCCTTTGCTTTATTTTTGAATATATTTGACTTAGTTCTTGAGCCAAAAAGTCATTTGAGTTTCAAATTGATCTCTGAACACTCATTATTAACTCACATATTTTATTCATGTTTTATTTTTTAAATAAAGCAACTGTTTTCTTTTATTAATATGTTTTTCCTTCCTTCTTCTCCATGATTCCCTTGACCTGATTCTTCCTCCTCCAGACTCTGATGCAGGTAAGTTTTTGTGTTTTTCTTTTCTTCCTGAACCTTAAATATATATTTATAAAAAAGCTTCCCTCATTACAAAAACTAAATGGAAACTGTAATAACCTTGCATCATGATTCATGGAGCACTTTATAGATTTTCACAAGTTTTGGCCCTCATTATCTTCTGGTTGGTGTTGGGTTTCTCTGAGCTCATATTGTTTCTGTACAAACACATGAGCAGGCAGTAAAAAAAACAAACCCTTTTTATGCTCTTCACAGTATAACAAATCATTTGCCCTGATTATACAGTATTTGTTGTTAACCTAACCCAACACTTATTTCACTGCATCCGTTAAAACTGGATGTTTCCTTGGCATCTGAAAACACATTTTCTCAAAGAAATAGAATATAGCAACTAGAGTTCAGAACCCCATAAATATGATCATAATACTCCAGTTCTTGCTTCTTTGCCCTGGCTACCTGTGGTGCTTAGGGCTGATTTTAAAATTGTATTGATAGTTTTGAAATCATTGAATCAACTTGCACCATCTTATATGAAGGACTTTTTGAGGCAGACCAGCAAATAGAGAATTGCAGTAATCAAGATGACAAGGAGACAAAGGCATGAATGAGTGTTTGAGCATCAGCAAAAGAGATCATTGATCTTATTTTGGCAATATTCCTAATTTGATAAAAGCCAGTTTTAATGATATTTTCAAAATGTTTTGCAAAGCTCAGATTAGAATCTAAAACCTGCCCCAAGATTCCTAGCCTGCTGTCCTGGTAACATTTTTAATGTGGGGGGTTAAAAGACATATCCTGATTAAAAATAACACCAAGGTTCTTTACATTAAAACTGGAGGCCAGATTAATGCCATCCAGAGGAGGTGAAAGGCTGCAAATAAGATGTTCAGGTCCAAAAACCATAACCTCAGTCTTATCTGAGTTTAGAAGCAGAACGTTAAGAGTCATCCATGTTTTTATGTCTGTAAGACATGCTTGTAGTTTAAGTAACTGGTTGGATTCATCAGGTTTCATGGATAAATATAACTGAGTATCATCAGCATAACAATGGAAATTTATCCTATGCTGTTTAATAACTTTACCTAATGGAAGCATACATAAAGTAAAGAGGATTGGTCCAAGCACTGAACCCTGAGGAACTCCATGACTAACTCTGGTGTAAGAAAATTCATTAGTAACATTAACAAACTGAAATATATCAGTTAAATAAGACTCAAACCATTTTAGAGCTGTTCCTGTAATCCCAATATCAAGTTCAAGTCTATGTAATAAAATGTGATCATTTGTATCAAATGCAGCACTGAAACCTAACAGGATAAGAATGGACACAAGTCCACTGTCTGAGGCCATGAGAATATCGTTAGTAACTTTAACCATTGCTATTTTTGTGCTATGATGAGCTCTAAACCCTGACTGAAACTCCTCATACAGATTATTTCTATCCAGATGTTCACGTAGTTGATTTGCTATTTTCTCAAGAGTTTTTGAGATGAATGGRAKATTAGATATAGGTCTGTAGTTGGCCAGAACTCCTGAATCAAGATCTGGTTTCTTAAGTAAAGGTTTAATTACAGCAACCTTAAAGCTCTGTGGCACATAACCATTCATTAAAGATAAATTAAGTACATCTATAATATAGATATTAATTAAAGGAAATGCTTCTTTGAACAGTCTGGTTGGGATGGGATCTAACAGACATGTTGATGGTTTGGATGAAGCYATTATTTTAGATAATTCAGAAAGCTCAACAGGACAAAAACTGTCCAAACATAAATCAGGTTCGTGACACTAAAGCTGCCTCATCTGACAGAGAATCAGAGACAGTAGCAGGAAATTTGGCATGAATTTTATTCCTTATTCAAATTATTTTATCTATAAAGAATCTCATGAAGTCACCACTACTTAAAGTTATAGGGATACATGGCTCAACAGAGATAGGACTTTTCATTAGTCTAGCTATAGTAGTGAACAGAACCCTGGGATTGTTTTTATTCCCTTTTATTAAAGATGAATAATATACAGTTCTAGCTTTACAAAGGGCTTTCTTATATGTTAGCAGACTATCTCTGCAGGTTAAATAATATTATTTTATGTTAGTGGAGCGCCATTTTCTTTCCAGTTTTCTAGATGCCTGTTTTAAAGAACGTAACTCTGAATTAAAACAAGGAGTCAGCTTCCTCYGATCGATGAACCGGTGTCTTTTTATCACCTGCTGCCATGACAGGTTGGTGATAATGTAATGAAATTATGATTATTTGGTAGTAAAATATCTAATAAAACACAACAGATTCCAAGAAAGTTATCACTAAATTAATATCTAATAAAAAACAAAAGATTCCAAGAAAGTTATCACTAAATTAATGTATAATAAAACACAACAAATTCTAAGAAAGTTATCACTAAATTAATCTCTACCACTGATTAACTTGTGGCGTCAAGACCTCTGTAGGTTTATGCTGTGTTGGAACAGGTAAAGATTACTGCACTGACTTGGAACTGCAGTCAGTCCTTGTTTGCGCTAATAAAACAAAAGGGAATATTCTCTGAGCTCCTTTTGCAGTAATGAGATGATCTGAGCTGCTCGGGTGTCTCAGACGTCCTTGTTTTAGATCCTCCAGCTCTGGTTCGGGACAGTGCCAGGGAAGGTCAGCGTGTGATCGGAGAGATGCGATGCCAGCCTGACTCCACTCCCCTCCTGCATCCTCTGCCAGCTCCAGCCAAAGTTTAACAGATGGCTTTTAGGAGGCACAGCAGGGAGGGGGGCTGAATATGAGGGCGATGGGGTCCAGATGCAGTGGCAGAAAGGGAAACTGTAAAGGACGAGCCGAGTGGGCCTTTCTGATGTTTTTCTTAAACGTCTTTATTTAAAGGAATTAAATCATAAGACAGACTGTATTTTTTATGGCTGCTGACCTTGTTTAACAAACACGATGAGTTTGACTTCATTAGGAATGTGGTATCAGTTTTCCTTGTTTACAGTCATCACACTTTATAATTGTTTCTGTAGAAAACATTTATGCACTGACGGCCTGCCATTCCTTGAAGTTATGCTTGTCTCGCCCCAATTTGAATTAAAATCATCTTATTTTGAAAAGGGACAGTTGTAGCTGGTTAAACCTTGTCATTAATGTTATGTAATATAAAATTTTATGAGACCTTTTATTTCTCAAAGTATGTGATCTCAGTATTTGAAAAAATTCAGAATCATGCCATTCATGTGTTGGCCATCATAAATGGGATTGACACCAAAAGTTGTCAGTTTTAGACGTACGTCCAATTATTACTTTCTGACAATTGTTTTAAAGGGGTCCATGATTAGTTGTAACATTAGACCTTATTTGATAAACATATATTTTAACTGTAAAATAAAGACTGTAAAAATACTGTAGGCTGTTTAGTTTTTATCATTTTTAAACTAAAAGTTTAAAAATATATTACACGGACGGGGCCATTTTAATTACACVCAAAGCATTCTGGGTAAATGATGACATCGATAAGTCCTCGGTCCTAGCGAGCTATATCCACCCTGAAGGTTAATCTTGGACAATATCTGAYGATYGACTCTTTTAAATGAAACCAGAGAGMGTTGACAGAGAGGAGAAGGTAGAAATGACTCAGYCTGTAACTGAAAATATGGATGGAGGASCTCAGTTTAGCTTGTTTGTCACACTAGCACCAAGCTAATACATATAAGGCAATAGTGTCGGTGCTAGTGCAAAGGCTAACAGGCTAAGCTGAGGTTCTTCTTCCATGAAGCAGCTCTGTGGTCCTCCATCCATATTTTCAGTTACAGGCTGAGTCATTTCTACCTTCTCCTCTCTGTCAACGCTCTCTGGTTTCATTTAAAAGAGTCAATCATCAGATATTGTTCAAGATTAATCTTCAGGGTGGATATAGCTCGCTCACACCGAGGACCTATCCATGTCATTTACCCAGAATGCTTTGCTTGTAAATAAAATGGCCCTGTCCGTGTTAAAATATACATTTAAAAATTTACAAAACTAAACAGCCTACAGTATTTTTACAGTCTTTATTTTACATATGAAATAAATGTGTGCCAAATAAATTCTAATGTTACAACTGATCAGGGGTCCCATTGAAATCTGTCTTCTGGTCTCTGAGATATTTTGCTAACACTGCACAGACGCAGGCAAAAAACACAATCTCCCTTTCACTTTCGCAGGCAATAAAAAGCCTGAACAAACATTTTGCCTCATTTTTCCCCTTTTTCAGTCATTTCAAACGTTTTTCTTCTTCAGGCTAATGCTGCGCAGCCTGAAGCGTGGCCTATAAACTGCAGAATTGTTGAATTATAGATGCCTAACATTCTTTATTAATCGGCTTCTGAGATACAGAAAGTGAAAGAAGTTAGATGTGTTGTAAAAAGTTGTAGCAGGTTGACAGAGGAGGCTTGTTTAAACAACTTTTAGCATCTCAGAACACAGAAAGAAGGCTCTATACAGCATGTGAGCCTTTTTTCGATAGATAATTGTATGTGTGTATTTTCAAAATTTGTCCTTTTTATTTGTTTACGTCTTTACCTCGACCTTCTTTTGATTGTCTCAGCTGCACGTTCTCTCTTTGTCTCACACCATGAATCAGGCAGCCATTCTTTGGAACTCTTTATTTCCTTTTAAGTCAGGCTTTTGTCTTCAGAAAGGCCTAACCAATTTAATTTCTTTAATTTCTTAAACAGAAAAATAGCCAAAACATTTAAAAAAGCTATTTGAAAAAGTTTAATTCATGAAATATACTGTAGCTTAAAAACCTGAAGAAACGTTATCCCAGTTGGAACAGAATTTCCATGAAAACTCTTCATGTTTAGTGTCTTAAACTGCCTCAGTGTGAGGATTACCCACACTCAGAAGTCTGTACATCTCATAAKGTTGAAATTAATACACAAAAACATAGCAAGTGTCTGAATTGCATCGAGCTTATAAAATGGAAGTTCATGTTAAAGAATGAAGCAGATTAAAGTCACTGTTTTCACTTTGGTTAGGCCTTTAATGTGGATGACTTGTCTTTGTAACACTTTTTCACCAGAAGCCTGTGTTTATCTCTTTTATGTGGGCTGTTTTACTAGACTATAATTAATAGCATTATTGACAGAYGTCTGTTATTCAACCAAACATAGATCCTGATGCACCTTTTAGCTGCTCTCTTACAAAAAGATTAAAGGCTGCCTTCGGATCCTTTGAACTGAAGTTTTCTGGAAAGGTTATGAGCAATCATCTTACCTGCTACAGATGGAGATTTGAACAATCTCTCTCTGGACAAACAGTTTAATTTTCACCAGACTGACAAGCAGTTTAGGCAAATTCTAATTTGCCTGGCGTGATTATACTGGTAGAAAAAAACATGAAAATTCTGCTGGACGTGCTACAGCTRGCTGCTGTTGTCCCTATTACAAAAGCCACCTAAAACAGACAGATGCTAACTGTAGCACTTCCAGCAAGAAAACAATAAGATTTCTGTTGGATAACTGTGCAATGAGAAATTGCTGTTTGTGTTTAAGTTTATATTTAAGCCTTGCATAAACAGTGCAAAATTTAAAAAAACAAAATTGTGTGTCAACTCTGTCCAGTGTCCTGCTAAAACTAGTTATTCTCTCGTCAATCCAGTCAAATTAAAATCTATTTTTCCAAATTTAAGTTCTTTAAATARCAATCTGCAACAGTTAAGATGTTTATTAACATTTGATCCAAACCAGTGTTTCCCAAAGTTAGGGTGAAACATCAAGGTCGGGTCATGAAAAGATTTTCTCAATCAATTACATTTTTGCCTTAGTTATTTCAAATGAGTGAGGTTAGTGTATTTAAAATGGATAAATGTAGTACAAAAAATATTGCTACTATGCCTATGTTTTGTTGACCTGATACAAATGTTTATCGTCCAAAAATAGTTGGGGGCACAGGTCTCTGCTACTGTTTTGTACTATTTTGTGGGTCAAAAGCTGAAAAGTTTGGGAACCATTGCACTTTGGTTCCCAAAGTTCCTTGGATAATCTCCAGAAATCAATTTAAAGGGTAATAAAATAATTGCTGATGTAATATTTTCCCTATAATTA